CTGCCGGCAGCACACTGTACTATAAAGATACGATTTATTTTTGCACAAGTCTTTTACACAGACGTACCACGTACATAGAATGGGGGAGGTCACACAACATTTTTTACTCCCCCACCCGCGTATATACCCGAGTGTAGCTAAATACAACAACTCGAAGGCAAATCTGCAATAAACAGAACGAGGGTATGTTACACTTTCCAATTTAACTCAGCTTAGCGAGAGACCCCATTTCATGCAACAAATTTTTAGCGCCCTTTCCAGGATATTATGGGCGTCTCACATGTAGCCAACAAACAAATGGTTTTACTGCTGTACTTGGACCAACCTTTCTCCTTAAAACTGAAAATTTCATTATCCAGCTGGAGATAAGTGAGCTTTTATAGTATGGACGATACGTCCAAAACCTGAGGTATTTATTTAATTATCTGAAGGAAGAGAAAGGGTATTGATTTCTTTCACTGCCTCCTCATAGGATACTGCAGTCCCGTGTACCAGTAAGACGCAATGCTGAAGACTCCGTCGCCAGCTGATAATTATCTATGTTTCGTGGGGCAGCAGCTCCCTCTCATTCATACTGCGGAACTCACCTGCGCATTCCTCCAGGATCTGCACTGTCTCCCCGATCTCCAACGGTAACCCATACCGCGTCTCTCCCCGCCAGTTGTACACGGCTGCAAAAAGGAAGTAAGTTACGTAAGAAACAAAACGTTTTACAGGGCTGTTACAGTAAAATGCGACAGGGATAACCAAAGATGTCAGGTCACTGGGAAATGAATATAATATTTTAAGGGCAATCTTCCATAATCACAATTTTTTGATACTCGGCAAGAAAGATTGGCTTTTTATAGAGTAAAAACTGAAATTTAGATTAAATGTAAAATTTCTACGGCGTATGTATAACCCTTCTGACATCTGCTGGACTTAATCCACTGTTGTGGTGTCAGAAACAACCACAATTCGGACGCTGGTTATACTTAACATCTTCAGGCGACCAGTTGGAGGACAAACCCTACTGCTTAGTCCTCTGGTCGTGCTTGCCAAGAGGTGAGACTAACTCGACCACAAAGCGGTGTGGTGGTTGAAATAACTCCAAGCGAAAGTAATATAAACAGACAGATCTTTTTACAAAATACGGTACATTGTAATCTGTTCCGTTAAGTTTACAAGAAACGTAGCGGCAGAGTGGTTATCACTCCTGAATTCTTGACACCGGTTTCATCAGCACTGCCGGAACGGTTGACGCTGTATCGCCTGAGCTACTGACAGCGTTGACAGATAAATAACTAAATAAATAAACAAAGGTAAAACTTTAAAAACCATGGAAGACATCCTCGCAATCCACAAGTTTAAAACAATTACAGTAGATTAATAAGTATCTGTAGCTTAACAAATATCCGTGTATATTATTAACCAGATGTAATTTAAGTGATAATGATGATGTTTAATAATAATAATAATAATAATAATAATAAGTAATTCAAATTATTATAGGAGCAACTGGAACCGTGTCCAAGTCACTCGAAAAATATTTGGCCAACATCCCCCGGGCGAACACGAAATTAGGGAACTTCAGAAAACCGCCATTCTAGGAACATCATACATCATTCGAAAGACGCTGATGTAAAATATATAGTACACATAGTCATGCCTCACAATAAATCTATATAATACTTGCAACACGTATTAAAAACAAAATGTATTTCAGAAAATAGCTGTTGCACTATGTACCTCAGGGGCAAAGTTTGTCTCAGGTACATATAAATAAAATGGTGAATAGATGGAACAATAATAAAAAATCTCGTCAAAAAGACACACATAACGCATGAAATGTATGTGTTTCGTTCAGCATCCCCTGGTCCACACTCCGGCCCGCGGTCTGTACTAATCGCCCACCAAGCAGTCCCAACGACTACCTCGTACCGGAAGTAGCAATCACGTGCCGCGATATATGGATGTGTGTGGACGTCGTGCTAAGCACTTCGGCTTCCTGTTCAGAGATCGTAATAATACCGGGTGTTCACAAGCATTCTTACGAAAATCACTGGAAGCATTAATGGACTGAGGGTTAAAACTAACCACCTTCACTTCGGGAGGTAACATAATGTGAATGTGAAGAGGTGGAGTGAGGAAAATCTCTACAAACTCAGATGTGGCAATGGATGGCGGATAGGGGCCAGATTTACTCTACGTCCGCTCTTACCTTCCGGCGAAGGAACCTTTACAGAACAATTCATGTTAATGCTTTTGACTGAGCAATCTTCCAATAACATTTGATTTCTGTTACTGCAATTCGCATGCATCCAAACATTTATCAATTAGATGGATCCTCGATTTTGAGAGAGACATTAACAATCAATGTTCTCTCACATCAGACAAATATTTTTCATTATACACGTGACAGTCAGTTACTAAAACCGCCGGAGGATGGCACGCAGCCCGCGGGTTGATAACCCCTGAAGTATCCTCTTCAGTTCGATATCCACCTGCAAGCGTAACGGAACCATACAACGAATAAATTAATTTAAAATTATGCAACTACGTTTTATAGTTCTTACAAATGAAACTACTCAGCTAAAGACTACTACGCGTTGAAGTCTCTTCGTTCCAGCAGTTAAACTTCAGGTAATGAAGAAGTCACTCCGAAGTAACATCCTGGCCTATGCAAATCAATTGAAGACTCGAAACGGGTCGCTTAATTGCTAATATGGCTCTTCCTCCCTAAAACTAATCGGGCGAGCATGAACAAGGCCCTAATCTTTGATGTGATCCCGGAATGCATGATAGCAAAATGTTTACCCTTCATGTTATCAACTGCGAGAAGGTAAAAAATACATATCAAGCAGGTAGCGATATTATTAAGATTTGAAAGATGCAATTAAGCCGACTGTAGCATCAACACAAGAAACAATATCACATAACTTTATAAAGCAGCTTCAAGAAATAGAATCAGAGAAAATGTTTTCTTTAATAATGAAAGTCGTTCTGTTAGTTACGTGCTGCATCACAAAATCATTCTTTTTATCTCGTAAATAAGAACAGTTCCGTGAAAAAACTCATAAAGCATACGTAACTTCTACAGCCTGCACTTTCGTCGAGATTAGTCCGTGGCTTTGTCAGCGATGTTAGTCCACATCTAACAACCTTGGAAGTAATGTCTAGATAATAAGTTTATAGTCCAAACGAGTTCGTGTGGAAAGTCTGGGTGCAAATGGCAACAGGATCTTACAAATCACTGTTTCCTTATTGTTCTTAGCAGTTATAAATATGTCACATACAAAGTCACAGTTATTATTATCAACATAATTATCATATTAGTCTTGTTAAATTACAGGCCCTGAATACGTTAAATTGATCACACATAACCCCATGCATTTCCACCCATGTTCACGAGTGTTGACATTTCACAACGTTCGACAAAATTTGTAGGTATGGGTATAATCTGTCGACATACCGATCTTCATATTCTTAGTCCCAATATTTTATCAACTATCGCTGCCAATTCTAGAGGTAAATTTAAAGTGTTAGCACAGTCATCACGCTTATTTTCGTTCTACAAAAAAAGGTGCCTCAACAAAAGTTGTACGTTTAACGAAGATGTATCACTTCCTGACCCCATGTAAAATGGTAGGCCCATTAGCGTCACTGCCACTACACTGGTTTACTACGGTAACCAGTCAACGCGGCTGATTGCCCGAGAAGATTTTATTGATTATGTGTGTATGCGTTATCAGAAATAAATTCTGGCGTTATGGTTACCTACTTGGCATACTTTGTTCTATAAGCAAATATGCTCGGAATATAAATGCGTCCTTGTTCCGACTGTGTCTGACCTCCCTAATAATCTATAGGTAAGCATTCTGTTGTTCTTTTTACTGTGGGGGACAACTAGCTGTAACATTTTGTATGGCACTGGATCTTAAAAAATATGCAACTTCTGTCAAAGAATCTTTCGTAGGATTACAAAAAAGAAAGATGGCGCGAGTGCGATATCTTTAGTTTTCGGTTCCTTGGCGCTTAACATATCAGATTTTGCAAGGATATAGACCATAAACATACCAAAAGTTTTACATATTTTTTTCTGTTGTTATAAATTAGAAGCATGGCTGTACACAGTGGGAACGTTTGGGGTTATACAAATTTAACGTGATCGAAATATGTGCCAGTGAAAACAGTATAAATAAATACATTCCAAATAATATTATTACAAGCAAACGAACAGCACAGCCGCTGGTATCTAGGTATCAACAAAAGGAACACAGCTTCACACTGACTGTAATAAACCACGTTCCCAATATCTTTAGGGTGGACGTACACATAGAAAGTGCAAAGTGAGCAGAGGACTTTCATGGCCTTACTCAGTATCTCCAAACACGCAGAACCACTGCTTTATGATAGGCCACTACCGCTTCTTTCAGCATCCACATCGCTACACAAACTTTGAAGTGATGAAGGAACGTTAAATAAACTGAGAAAGAAACCTCCACGAAGAACGTTTCATGCATATGGATGGGCGGGCAAACGACAGTCATATCAAAGCAAATATGCGCTAGCGAATACCCTGACATCAAAGCAGAATGAAAAGACAGTTCTTATTATGCATATCGCCTATTCAAACGCCTAAACACAGAAGAAAAGAGGCTGTTACTTGTTGAATTACTAAAGTGTGTACGTTCCATGCCATATCTTTACAAGGGCAGGTACAAAATAGGACTACACTTCTCGGTTTGTAGAAGACCGGAATATTAAAAAGTTATCTGATACTAGGGAACTGCAGAGAAACAGTGGTATTGTTTACGAGTCTTAATATTCTCGTGGACCAATGTTCTTTTATTTACCACCGTTGCGACGGACAATTATCACCACTTTATGAATTAAAAGGATTCAGAGCAAAGAAAGAGTAGTATATTGCTTTTATATCAAAGACACGATTAATAGGTGCTTAGCAACAGATCGCAGATGGAAAGAAATGGGCGGAGAAACATATGACAGGACATTGTTAAATACGCGATGATCAGCATTACTCTTAGGTGCATAAAATAAAAAATATTTTATTAAGTTCGTATGTGAAAACACTGGTACTGTTCTCCGCTCCATGATGAGTATTGTTGGAAATGAATGACTTTCACACATTACATTTCTACTGACAATGAACACTCCTTTAATCAAGTAACCTAGTTGCGATATAGAATTTACGATGCTTACTTGTTTTCAAATGTTTCCATCTATAAAAGAAGCTAGCAAAAAAACAAAAATACAACTCAGTGCATAATTTTCACAAGCATGTCTCAAAGTACGTATGTTTATTATGCATTTTCATACAAAATTTTACATGCTATTGGTTCATCAGACATCGGAATACGAGCGAAAGATGGATTCAGATTTCGAGTGGGTGCAATATTGCTGTTGAACATTCCATGAAAATAAAGTTTTCCGAACAAAAGTTATACATTCTTTCGATATCTACTGCCATGCAGAAGATCAGTAGTGCATGATTAGGGTTATAAGTTTCGATACCACCTCAAACTTCCTCACGGGGAAGTCAGTAATACTGTTACTATAAATTTAAAAAAATGCACGTGACGTGTCCTGTAATGACTGTCCACATCACGCTTTATGAAAATCTGTTTACTGGTTCAATACTTACGAGGGTAAAGCAACAATATGGTAGTATCACACGCCGTTCATTCCATATTAAATAAGAAAAATACGATAAATTTCGCACTATTTAAATAAATGCTCTAAATTAAATATTAGCAATATGGTGGAAAGACGAACGCCCTGCACTGATGTATCCGTCGTACAAACAAGTCTTCGGTGTCCTCATAAAAGTCGCAACATGGTCACAAGAGAAAAAAATTTCGGCATATTCCCTGATACTTTCTATACTACTCTCTAGTTATACTGCGGGTTCTCAAACCTCGGCCGGCGGGTATGTTTTATGTAGCCCAATTCATTATTTAAAATCACTATAAAATTCCATACAAGGAATAGCATAGCGTATCTCTTTCAACAGAAAATATATTCACTGACTTTTAGCTACTAATCTTATGTGTGATTCATACCGCGACAAGATGCACTGCTGGCTGCTTTGAGCGACTGAATCACACAATTATCTATCATTACCTAATGGAAACACGCAGCGAAACAATGAGTAGACTGTAATGACCCTCAGAGAGCCACACATCACTGCTATAGTCGGCGCAGTAGTTTTTGGCCGGTGGAATTTTCAAGGGGAAGGCTAGGAGCGAGTCACTTGTGCGATCGTATAATGCTGACTGCATCGAGGAGCTTATCGGACCGAACGCCCAAACAAAAGAAATACTCTGACCGTGCCACCTCAGGTACACAGAGTAGGCCCGCCCGTCAGCTCCGCTAGCTTCTCCACCGGCCAAAAACTACTGCACCGACTATACTACACGCTCACTCGGATTCGGTCAGAGATGAGGTTACAACGGAGATCTCTGTCCCTCAAAGCGGACACCAAGAAACTCTCCTCAGTTTCTGGATCCATCATTATGAGAGCTAGCGCTTATGCTTATGAATCT